CAGAGACAGGAGAACAGGGGTTGAAAGGTACATTCTGAGTTCAAATTTGAATTCTGGACAAGCCTGGGATGCATGAGACACCGTCCTTTAAGGAAACGTAGAAAGCCCATCTCTGGGGATCCAGGAGAACTGGATCTGAAACTGTCTCCACTGTCGCTCTTCCCATGTCGTTCTGTACAGATCAGGCTGATCTGGAACTTGGAATTCCTGGCTCAGTTTTTCTCTCAAGTGCTGGGATTACAGGTATGCCACCATGCCCAGCCCAGAACTTGTCCTAACTCTCCATGTTCTAACTCTCGATTTCCTTTTTTTTTTTTTTTGTTTTCTTTTGTTTTACATTTATTCCTTTTATTATTTTATGTGTACAAATGTTCTGCTGGCATGTGTGTTTGTGCACCCTGGGCACGCGGTGCCCATGGAACTCAGAAGAGGGCTTTGAATCCCCCTGGAACTTGAGTCTCGAATGGTTGTTGATAAACCTTACTGGTCGGCAATATAAGCTAATGCAAGACAAGTTAAAGTATGTGAGCGCAGGCTTATTGAAAGCAGCTCTCCGCCGACATGCAGGGGGAGGGGCAGAGAAAGGTGCACGAAGAGAGAGGAGAGGGAAGAGGACATACAGAAAAGGAGGAAGAGGAGGAGGAGGTGGAGTTGGAGAAGAGGGGGCCAAAATGTCTGGATTGTATAGTGCAGAGTCTCTGCGGGGGTGAAGCCTGGCTCCTGGGCTGAGGAGTTCAGACCCAGGGATGCTGGGAGAACCTGGAGGTCAGGTCTGCCTTGGTTGAAAAGGCACTTGAGCTGTTTGTCCAGGTCTGAAGCCCGACAGTCGTAAATTACCTCCTGGTTGCTTGAAATTGAACTTGGATCTTCTGCAGGAGCAATACCTTCGTGCTGTGCTCTTAACCACTGAGCCATCTCTCTGGTCTTCAATTTCCTTTTAAAAAGGAAACCATAAAAAGCTCTCTCTGCCTGCCTGACAGGTTTGTGGGGATGTAACTGACTCTGGTAAAGGTTAAAGCCAATCATAGCCCAATAAATATGGACAGCCGCCATCCCCATCTGAGGACAGTGCCTCCTCCATCAGAGAGCCTGTTCGTTCACTGATTCAACTAGTATTTACCGAGCGTGTGCTCTGTGCAGGCAGAGCTGTCTTCACAAGCAGACTTCCATATTAGGTATGCCGCAGCCATGTGCCTTTCTATGGGCCCCGCCAAGCCGGGCTGCAAACGTGCGCTACAGCTGTGGTTTGGGAGAATGGCACCCTCTGCTGGGAGGAAAGAGAACTGTCCTTTGGGATAGCCACAGCAACTGGGGGATGTCTCTAGCAGTCTGAGCGTATTCCAGGACTGCCAAGGCTAAAAGAGAGAAACCCTGCCTTGAAAAACCATTTAAAAAAGGGGAGGGAGACTGGAGAGATGGCTCAATGGTTAAGAGCACTGGCTGCTCTTCCAGAGGCTGAGTTCAATTCCCAGCAACCACATGGTGGCTCACAACCATCTGAAGTGGGAGCTGATGCCCTCTTCTGGTGTGTGTGAAGACAGATCACTCATCTACATAAAAATGTATTTTTTTAAGGAAGAAAGAAACGTTGGATGGGAGGTGGGAAGGGAGCTTTTGGTTTGTGGGGAACTGGCCCATAGAGCTCCCTAGTGAGAACCAAACTAGACACAAATGGACTGTTGCCACTCATGGGGCTTTCAAGGGCGACTGCCACCCAGCTGACCTCACGGACAGTCCCTGACTTGGCTGGCTATCTGGCCATAGTTCTCTACTTGGGTCTTAAAACCCTTCTCAGGCCATGCAGTGACTGGGCATGCAGAATTACCTGTACCCAATGGAGGGGGAAAAGTAAGGCAAAACATTGCTTAGGTCAGCCACAAGGTGAAAGGCTGTTGCACTCACTTGGGGTGAGGGGAGTTTGTAGGACTGGGAGGAGGATGCTGAGGCGGCAGGTCTCCAAGGGAACCCAAGACCTTTCTAACAGGAAAGCTCCCGGGTTTTGTTTTGTTGGAGAGGGTCTCCCCATGAAGCCTCAGGGTGGCTCTGAACTCTCACCCCTCCAGCCTTGCCTTCCCTGGTACTAGGATCTTTGGTCTGTGCCATCACATCCATCCTTAAAGTTTCACTTTTTCTCCCCTCTTGGGCTTCTTAGAAGTCTGGGGAGAGATCTGATACATGAGGAGAACAGAACGGACCCCAGAGGTCTTTTCAGTCTAGTTATCCCAGGTTGAGCCCTGATGCCAGGATTGCATCCCCAGCTCTCATCACCAGACTGAAGGTGGCTCTGGAGCCTCCAGAGACATGGATGCCCTGGACTGTTTGACATTGTTGTTAGAAACAAAACAAACCCCTAGAATTTCCATTCACAGATGGTGGGGAAGAGCAAATCAGTATTAAATTGGATGTGATGGAGACAACAAAGTGGCCCCCAAGCTGTTACTCGAAATTGTGACACAAAATGTGGGTGCAACACACGGGTAAACACTGGAGGACACACAGAGTGGACCGAACTGCAAAATGTGAACGAGTAGCAAAACGCCCAGGCAGCCCTCATTAGCACGGCTAATGGCTCACCAGGTGTATGTGATTACTACTCACCAGGAATAGAGATGGCGACTTAGTTCTGAAAATATTTTTAAGACATTGCTTTTTTTTTAAGCTTGTATGTTCATGTGTGTGGGTCTGGGATCAACTTTAGGAAGTCATTTCTCTGGGTCCCAGAGATTAGAGAATTTGGGTCATCAGGCTTGGAGGAAGCACCTTGACCTGTGAGCAGGTCATCAGCCTCTGGTTTCCTGTTATGGAGCCTAATGACCCCAGGTCCTCGATTTCATTTTGCAGATGGGAAGCGTAGTCACAGCAAAACAGTATGGCACACACCCTAACCACCTAGTCACGTCATGGCCTGCTCTTCCCGGCTACTCAGGCCTGTGACTGTTTCTCCATCGCCAAAGGAGCCTAGATTCATTCACAGAAGCCAGACTTGGCTGTGAAAGCCACTCCTCTGATACCCTCCAATAGTCCCATGGGGAGAAGCCGGGCCGAACAGTGGCTTTAGTTTTGTGGCTAGCTGAAGCTGCAGGTAGGATTTCCCTGCTTCATTCAGCCCCTGAGAGGGGAGTTCTAGATAAGGGGCAGCAGGTGTGAGTGGCTGAGACACCCTATCCTTCCACACCCTCTTATCAACGAGAGAATCAGGGTGATGGTCAGCAAAGGGGTTCAAAAGTAGGAACAGCCTGGGTCTGAGGGCTGTTACAAACAGATCAAGGACAGGTGAGAAGCCTAATTTCCTTAACTACTTTTTATTATGTTTTTATTAGCTGGTGTGCATGTGTGAGAAGTTTCACAGGACAACTTAGGAGACTCCACCTGTGATTAGTCAGCTTGTCAGACCTGGTGGTAAGCACCTTCACCTTCTGAGCCATCTCACTAACCCCTCAATTCCCATTTCATTTCTTCATCCGGTGACATGAGTTGTCAGCCTTGATGTCAAACCTGTGCATGCACCCCAGTCACTGGGGTCTTCGTAACTCAGGGGAGGCTCCCCACCCAGCATGCTGGTCATCAGGTGAGAGCTGGAGCGTCCAGGTCCAGGAACTCCTGGAGCTGGAGCGATGGTCCTGGCAATTAAGAGCACCAGTGTTCAGGTCCCAGTGTGACAGGACAAGACAATACAGAGGTTCCTCCAGCTCCTATTTTTGAGAAGTCCATTTTAGATTCGACTACAATTTAACCTCCTTCATGGAGAATCCCACGGAAAACCACCCAACTCTAAGATACACTGGCTAATTTATCTTGGCTTCTGTTAAACTGCCTGCTTTTGAAAAACCTCCCCTGCAGCTGCCAAACAACAGCTCAGGATATGGTTTTTGCCTTTAGAAGTCCCTTGCCCCAAGCCCTTATTCCAAGGGATCCAACACTTCCTTCTGGTGCCTCCCTGGGCAAAGGGGGCACCAGGCATACATGAGGTAGAGACTTAACAAAAAAAGAACAATTTTGGATTTCACTTTAAAAACAGCATTCTGACTTCTGCTTTCTTGCCCCAGTAGTGTTGGGAAAATTCTAGTTTATTCTAATAAGACCAACACCCTGAATGAATTCTGAAATTTCCTGTTTTACTTCATTCTGACATATAATTTAAGGAAAAAAAAAATCCCACAAAGAAGTCACTCTTTAATGCAGGAAAGTCCCCTCAGAGGATGTCTGTAAGGCCAAGCTAAAAAAGTGTTGGAGGGCTTGGAAAGCATTCACCATGGGGCAGGTTATGAGTTCTTTCAACCATAAAAGCCATTTGTTTGTTTGTGACATAGTCTCACCACAAAGCTCCGCCTGTCCTGGAAAGCACTTTTGTTTTCTGAGACAGAGTCTTGATAACCCAGGCTGATTTCCAAACCTACATTTTGAAATGTGCTTCAGTCTCCCAAGTGCTTGGACTATAGACATATACCACCCAAGATCTTTTTCTTTCCTTTTTTTTTGAGAAGGGTTTCTCTGTGTAGCCTTGGCTGTCCTGGACTCACTTTGTAGACCAGGCTGGCCTCACAGAGATCCACCTGCTACTGCCTGAGTGCTGAGATTACAGGTGTGTGACACCCAGCTCCCATGATCCTTCTTTTCCCTCCACAATCCTCCTAGACACTGGCCTCCTGATCTCACCTCCCAAGTGCTGTAATTATAGGCTTGTGCCACTGAGTTCCAAGGAAGGAAGTTGAGTGTGGTTCCCTCTTGGCTCTGAAACTGCAGGGTAGGGGAGGTCCTTATCCCATCTCTGGCCTGTTTCTGCACCTTGCACCACATCTACCTTCCGGCCCTGAGACTGGCTGAGCCCGAAGCGCATGTAAGCAAATTCTGAACATACCTACCACAAGGGGGAAGTTGGGGGAGAAGTGAGGGCATTTGCAAAAAGTCTAAAACCACCAAACTGAAGGCTTCATATAATGCATGCTGTGAGAATTAAGATGAGTCTTTGTTTTAACTCCACTCCCCTAACACCTCTGGGAAAAGTTCATTTAATAAAAAAAATTCTGGTACATTTACACGATTGTCATCACTCTCCATCTACGGCACGCAACGGGGAAAATAAAAAATACAAGACAACTTAGACATACTCAGTTAAAAACAAAACAAAACAAAACAACAACAAGCCCTGCACGATTCTCTTTTGGAGGGTCTGAGGGGACACAGGTGCCCCTCCCCCAGCCTCTTTTCGAACACTGCATTAAAAAAAAAATGGCTGCAGTTAAGAGGCCTCTTTCTAAGGAGAGGGGAAAGTCAGCAAGGGCAGCAGAGCAAGTCAGCCCTGAGGAGGGCAGGGTTGAGCATCGTGTGAGAGACCTCTAGGAATTCTGCCTCTGAGAGGGGCCCAGCCTTGGCTGAGGGATCAGTGTTGGAGTCTGTGTCACATCCTTTCATCTGAAAGGCTTCCGGTCCAGCCTTCCTGTCAGGCTCAGTATACTAAGCAGGCCGCTTCCTGAGAAGCTCTAAGTCCTCGCTGTAGAGGAGGCTCCGTGAGATGCTGCTGTGACCCGATCTTTCATTTCTGCCTGGATAGCTTGGCAGGGCGCCTACTCATCCTCCCCGCCACCGTACATGTCGGCCAGTTTCTTGAATCTACTTCCCCACTCGTTAAGGTAGTTGTAGTCCTGGTCCTGGTCGGAGGCTGAGGAGGTGAGGGAGCTCAGGGAGGCGGCATCAGAGCCGCTGCCCTCATAGTCAAACACCAGCAGGGAGTCGTAGGGTGGGGCAGTTGGGTCCGTATTGGCAGCCTTCAGGTTCTAGGGCAGCAGAGACCAGCAGTTAGCATGGCAGGATGGTGACCCTTGCTGACCCTTGCCAGCTGCCTGCATTCTGGCAAAACCACTGCCTCTGCTGCTTAGCCTGTGTACCCAGACCCCTGCTTCCACCTCCGGGAAAGCCTGCCTGGCCTCTGCTCCCAAGGCTTTGAAAGTTGAAATTAAATAATGCATAGGAAGTATTTAGCGTAGTGGCTCAGGGCATCCCAAGCCAGTGAGCAAGGAGCATGACTTTGAACCGCTTGTTCCACCGTCTGGGCCCTGTATGAGCTAATTGCGGTTTTTGCCTTTGTAAGCTAACTCTGAGAAGCACTCAGTATCACAGTTCAGCCTGAGTCTGGGCTGCGTCCCTGATCATGATCAGTCTCGGGTGTGTGTTCAATAAACCATCCATAGCTGACTGAGATTGGTGACTGAGAGGTTTATGTGGCTTTCTCTGAAACCCAACACATACAAAACTATCGAAGGTTAGTACCTGACAGATGGTTGGACATTGTTTCCATATTTGCAAAGACAGGATTAATTAAGAGAGAATTTGCATGTAACAAAGAGGCCCAAACCATCTTTTCTGAATCGGCTCTCCTGGGCAATGTCTCCAGATGTGAGCACCTGTGTTCTGAGCAGCACCCTTCCAAACAAAGCCAGAGAAAGCTCGCTGCTTGGACTAATTCCAACAGGCAAGAGAAGCAAGCAGTCCTGTTTCCATCTCTGCAGAAGACAGGAACAGAGGGTGGAAGTCGGGGCTGAGGCCTGACTCCATGCCAGCTGACCAGCAAATCAATTTTGAAGTTAAAGATGGTGATGATGATGGCAGCAGTGGTGTGTGTGTGTGAAGATCAGAAGACAACATTAGGGAGTCTGATCTCCCCTACCACAGTGGATTCCAGGAATAAACTATTGCCAGGCTCGCACAGCAAGCCACTTCCTCCTGCTCGTTCTCCCATGCTACGACTCAGATCTGCTCTGGGTTAACCTGTCACGTCTCACCTCAATGATGAAGTTGCCAATTTCATCTGGGTTGGCTGGCCGGGGACGGTACATGGGTGTGGGGATGAAGGTTGGTGCCACATCATTGCGGAGAACCACCTCAGGCCTGGCCTCCAGCCCCCGGTGGAGTTGGGTGATATCATAGTCCTTTATGAAAACAAAAGGGAACATGGGTCAAGGATGTGCACGGCTTTCCAGCAGTCACATGTCATCTTTCTGAGGCTCTGGAGGAGGCCAGAGACCCCGGAAGTCCCTCAATCCTATTGTCCCCTCTTCTTCCAAATTAAGGGGACAGTTGAGAGCCACTTAGCCAGGACAAAGAGACTATGGCATTAGACACCCTTCCCAGGAGAGGGAACTGGTGACCAGTGCTGCAAGAAGACTGATGCTTCTGCCAGGGCTAGTCAACATAACTGAGGTTGTACGACCCAGCTATCTCCATCACGGGCCTTGGGGACACCCACACCTACCTACCACCCAACCCCTCCAGTGACCCACCTGGTCCTCTTCGCCACCACCCTCTTCACCATAATAGAAGACGTTGTCACGAGTGTCGTCCTCTGGGAGCAGAAGGGGCTCTTTGACCTTTCTCTTCTTTCTCACCAGCAAGAGGAGTGCCAACAGAAGGGCTGAAAAAGTGGAGAGATGTAAGAACTCCCTCAACCATGAGGCCAGTCATGACCCCAGGCCCTCGGACCATAGTGCACTCATTTTATTTATGGATTTTTTTTTTCCCAGAGAGGGCTCATGTAGCCCAGATTAGTCTGTCTAGCTGAGGCTAGTCCTGAACTCCTGATCTCCCTGTGTGATGGGCTGTTTTTAGTTGTCACTATACCACACCTGGAATTAAAACTTAAGCAGCTGGGTACGCCTGTGAGAAATTCTGTCTTAACTGAAAAATCATTTCAAGTGGGAAGACCCACTTTTAGTCTATTCTTTTGAGGTGGGAAGATCCACCTCTAATCTGGGCCATGCCTTTTGGTGACAGCCTGTATAAAGGACATGGAAGAAGCCTGCTCTCTCTGCCTGCTTGCTCTCACTGTGGCTGGCAAGTACACCCCTCCACTGGCATTAGAGCCTGCTTCTTCAGGATCCCAGCAAAAACTGAAAACAAGCTGACGCATCCATCCTCATGGACTGAACAACTACTGGATTCTTTCTTTTTTCTTTTTCCAAGACAGGGTTTCTCTGTGTAGCCTTGGCTATCCTGGACTCAACTTGTAGATCCAACTGCCTCTGCCTCCCTGAGTGCTGGGATTACAGGCATGCGCCACAGTGCCCAACATCTACTGTTTTTTTTTTTTTTAATTAATTACAATTTATTCACTTTGTATCCCAGCCGTAGCCCCCTCCCTCATCCCCTTCCAATCCTACCCTCTCTCTTCTCCCCCCATGCCCCTCCCCAAGTCCACTGATAGGGGAGGTCCTCCTCCCTTTCCATCTAACCCTAGCCTATCAGGTCTCATCAGGGCTGGCTGCATTGTCTACCTCTGTGGACTGGTAAGGCTGTTCCCCTCTCATGGGGAGGTGATCAAAGAGACAGCCACTGAGTTCATGTCAGAGACAGTCCCTGTTCCCCTTACTCCCAGGGAACCCACTTGGACACTGAGTTGCCATGGGCTACATCTATGCAGTGGTTCTAGGTTATCTCAACAAATGGACCACAGTTGGAGTATCAGTCTCAGAAAAGACTCCTGTGCACAGATATTTTGGTTCTGTTGCTCTCCTTGTGGAGCTCCTGTCCCCTCCAGGTCTTTCTAGCTCCCCCTTATTTCATAAGATTCCTTGTACTCTGCCTAGCAGTGGTATAGCTGGGTCTTGAGGTAGCACTATTCCTAATCTTCTGAGAAAGTGCCAGATTGATTTCCAAAGTGGTTGTACAAGTTTATATTCCCACCAGCAATGGAGGAATGTTCCCCTTCCTCTACATCCTCTCCAGCATGTGTTGTCCCTTGAGTTTTTTATCTTAGCCGTTCTGATGGAGTATAAGGTGAAATCTCAGAGTGGTTTTAATTTGCATTTCCCTGATGACTAAGGACATTGAGCATTTATTTAAGTGTTTTTCTGCCATTTGATATTCCTCTACTGAGACATCTGTTTAGCTCTGTTCCCCATTTTTTAATTGGATTACTTGATTTGTTGCTTTTTAACTTCTTGAGTTCTTTATCCATCTGGATATTAGCCCTCTGTCAGATATAGGGTTGGTGAAGATCCTTTCCCAGTCTGTAGGCTGTCATTTTGTTCTGATGACAGTGTCCTTTGCTTTACAGAAGACTTTTCAGTTTCATGAGGTCCCATTTATTGATTGTTGATCTTAGAGCCTGTGCTGTTGGTGTTCTGTTCAGGAAGTTGTCTCCTGTGCCAATGAGTTATTAAAGGCTCTTCCCTACTTTTTCTTCTAACAGATTTAGTGTGTTTAGTTTTATGTTGAGGTCTTTGATCCACTTGGACTTTAGGTTTGTGCAGGGTGATAAGTATGGATCTATTTGCATTTTTCTACATGTAGACATCCAGTTAGACCAGCACCATTTGTTGAAGATGCTATCTTTTTTCCACTGTATGGTTTTGGCATCTTTGTCAAAAATCAAGTACCTGTTGGTGTGTGGGTTTATTTCTGGGTCTTCTAATTGATTCCATTGATCCACCATTTTGTTTCTATGCCAGTGCCATGCAGTTTTGTTACTATTGCTCTGTAGAACAGCTTGAGATCAGGGATAGAGATACCTCCAGATGATCTGTTGTTGTACAGGATTGTTTTAGCAATTTGGGGTTTTTTATTTTTCTATATGAAGCTGAGAATTTTTCTTTCACGTTCTGTAAAGAATTGTGTTGGTATTTTGATGGGAATTGCATTGAATCTGTAGATTACTTTTGGTAGGATGGCCATTTTCACTATGTTAATCCTACTGATCCATGAGCATGGGAGATCCTTCCAGATCTTCTGATATCTTCAATTTTCTTTCTTCAGAGACTTGAAGTTTTTTTTTTCAAATAGGTCTTTCACTTGCTTTGTCAGAGTCACATCACGGTACTTTCTGCTGTTAGTGGTTATTGTGAAGGGTGTAGTTTTCCTAACTTTTTTCTCAGCCCTCTTGTCTTTTGTATATAGGAGGGCCATCTACTGGATTCTTAGACCTTCTGTTGGTAGACAGTGAGCGTTGGACTAGCTGGACCACATCCTGTAAGTCATTCTAATAATTCCATATATATAATCCTCGTTGTATAAATTCTGTTCCTCTAGAGAACCCTAATGCATTCTGCCTCCAAGACCTTCCAAAATACACTATCATATCCAGCTGCATTTAGATTTTGAGACCTGCAGTCTCTTGTCTTTTATGCACATTCACAGATTTACGTCGCCACTTAACGTCACCTCTTCCTGGAAACAGGATGACTCCATTCCCACCTCCAACCCTATAGCATTTACTACATCAGACTTTCCATGCTGACAGCATTGAGGGGAGAGGAGGGAACCCTCTCCCCCCCAGTCGCTGTTACCTTCCCCGAGACTCTTGGTCATTCGATGTCCTCTAAGTTAGCCACAGTCTTATGCTAAACTGGAATTTTAAGGGAAGGACTGGCTTCCAGTGACAGCTGGGAAGACTGGCAAAGCATGTGCCTGGGAAGAACTGGTCAACTAAGGCCAGGCTGTTTTCCCCAACTGTCATGGGGTTGTTATTAGTACTGGCAATTGACAGGACCACTCTCTCTTTGGCTAGGCACAACAGACCTAACTCTCTTTGGGAGGTCATGGTTTCTATGGATGCAAATGTAGATATGGAGCAGATGCGACTTTTCTTCTCCTTTCTTCCCCAGTGGTTCTGGGGGAAGACTAAAGGCAAGCTGGATTTCACACCTGTGCCGAAGGCTTATTATATGCCTACTCACTTCTCCATTTGGCATGGCTGGGCATCTCTTTCCCCACACAAACTGGCAAAAGGAAACTGTATTTCCTTATCTTCTTCCCCCAACTCTCTACCACAGTTCAAATTTATTTCCCCTCTCCCTCCCTTCCTCTCTCCTCCTCCTCCTCTTCTTCTCCCCTCTTTTCTTCCCCCCAAACACAGTTTCTTTGTGTAGCCTTGACTGTCCTCAAACTCACAAGAGATCTGCCTACTCCTGCTAGGATTATGGGTGTGCACCACCTTACCCAGCTGTCAGTTTTTTATAAGACAGGGTTTTTCTGCATAGCCCTGGCTGTCCTGGATCTTGCTTCAGGATGGCCTTGAACTCAAGAGATCTACCTGTTCCTGCTGCCGGAGAGCCGTGATTGAAGGTGTGTACCATCACTGCCCAGCGTCTGACAGGATATTTTATCACAGCAACAGAAAATAAAACTAAAAACTATGAAAAAACATCCAACAGTCTACAGACCACAAAGCAGCACCAAGGACTTTGATGGAGTTTCCTCCCAGGGCCCTGCCTCCAACACGGCCCTGCATAGGCTTTTCGGCAGGAATGTCATCTAGGATTTATGTCATCTCACAGCACGCTAATGCTCCCAATCTCCGAGTGACGTCCCAGTTACCCAGGGTCTTTTGAGCAGTCTCCAAGATCCACCGCAAGGACCATGCACCTACCAATCGTCCTCTGACTTCACTCCCCACTTTCCCCCAACACAGCCATTGCATTTTCCAGACTCTGAGCACAGTCCGGCCCCAGGGCATTTGCTGTTCTGGACACAAGCATGGCTGCTTTTCTTTCCTTTTTCAGGTCTTTATTTCTGTGCTGCAGCGGCCATTCTGCCAAGGCAGCCCCTGCCAGCCATGTTCTGTGTTGAACCCCCAGACTCTTACCCCTACCTCTTGGTGCCCGAGCACTGGTTGGGGAAGACTCATCCTTGTCTCACACCTTTCTGGCTGCTATGAGCACTGTGTGAAGACCGAGTCAAGAAGCCAGACAAAGTGCCTGTGATACGTCTATCTTTACAGCAGAGAAATATGGGGCTTGGATGTGTGTGCGTGTGTTTTCTGAGACAAGGCTTTACACTTTGTTGTGAGTCCTGGCTGAAATCTGTAATCCTCCTGCCTTGGTCTCCCTAGTGGCAGGATTCTAGGTATATGAGACCATACCCAGCTCAGATTTGCATTATTATTGTTTTGGAGACAGGGTTTTACTATGTGGCCCAGGCTGGCCCTGAACTTGTGGCAAAACTCCCGTTTCTGCTCCCTGAGTGCTGGGCTTACACATACATACCACCACGTTCAGCTCTAAGAAATGTTTATTTATGGTTGTTATTATTATTATTTTACTTTTTGAGTCAGAGTTTCTCTGTGTAAGAGCCCTGGCTGTCTTAGACTCACTTTGTAGACCAGGCTAGCCTTGAATTCCTAGAGATCTGTTTGCCTCTGCCTCCCTAAGTGCTGGGATTGCAGGCCTGCGCCACTGTGCCCAGCCGTTGTAGTTATTATTTTTATTACTAATTCAGCACACAGAGTAAGGGGTTGATCATGTGATCTTCGTACATGTGTTACTGTACTCTGTTCTCATTTTTCCTGTGCCCACTGCCTGCCTGTGCCTGTCTCCTTTTGTTCCCCACACAGGAGGCCTCCCTGCTCTCCTACTACATGCAATCCATTACCTCTTTTCTACTTCCTCCCCTTGTAATTCCACTCTAGTCTCATGACCTGCAAACACACACACACACACACACACACACACACACACACACACACACGAATGTATTTACACATATAGTTCTAGATCTGGGTACCACATGTGAGAGAAACATGCGGTAGTGTCTTCCCGGCTTACTTCACTCAGTGCAATGACTTCCAGCGCTATCCATTTTCCTCAAAATGCCATGAAAGAAATTTGTTTTGAACTAACTACTTCTACCAGTGCTCCAGTGGTTCTTACATTGTGGCGTGTTTTAAAAGCCCTTGAGGGTTTGTTAAAACACAGGTCACTAGGTCTCTGGATCAGCAGGTCTGCAGGATGGCATAGCTGAGAAACTGCCTGTTCTTTAAAAAGCAGGCTTCCTCAGCTCACTGCAAGGGACTGCCTAAACCTGGAGTCTGCCTTCCCAACAAATTCCTGCACTACTCAGAACCACACAGTGACACGACAGGGAGACATTAGGCTGGCACATTCTGGTAGTTCTAGAAACATCTTACTGACTAAATGATGCTCCTAGAATTCAGAGTGTAAGAAGTGGGTGAGGGGAAGGAGGAGACAGACAGCGCAGCAGTTAGGAGCACTGGCTGCTCTTGCAGAGGACCGGGTTTGATTCCCAGCATCCGCACGAAAGCTAGAGCTGTCTGTGACTCCAGTTCCAGGCCATCTGACCCCCTGTGATGGCTTGCACAGGCACAGGCACAGGCACAGAACCAGTGCACATACGTACATGCAGACAAGACACCCACACACATAAAGCTAAAGGAGAGAAGAGAAATGGGTGAACAGTATTGGCTTAGTGTCAGGAGCTGAGAAAAGGCAGGTCTCTTGACTACACGACTCAGCACGGAAGGAAGCATGTGGTACTCACTCAGCAGAGCCAGGACGGCACCCAGGATGGGGAGGATGAAACCACCCTTCCAGGGCTTGGGGCAGAACTCCACGTGGCCACGGCAGTCGCACACAGTGGCCCTGATCATGGTGAGCTGTTCCCTGTTGCCATGGTCGGAGAGAGAAAGGTGCAAGTCATATATGTCCTGCTTCAGGAACTTCTTCAGGGACAAGGCCACGGTGTCTCCTGGAGAGAGAGAGTTTATGAGCTTGCGGATCTCCTCTGTGTTGGGCACTGAATACAAGACGATCGAAGTTTGAGAACAGCCTTAGCACCCTAAGAACAAAAGGCAGCTTTTGTTTAAGTGTAGCACTGTAAGGATGGAACCTGCCTAGCATCCATGAAGCTCTGGGTTCCATCCCCAGAACAGGAGAGCAAAGCCAACGAACAAAAGTCTCTAAAACCCTTGCTAAAGCCAAATTTTACCACTGTGAGAGGGATTCCTGGGTTACAAAAATTAATTCATTCTTTAGAATCTCCCTCTACCCTTTAAAAAAAAAAAAAAAGATTTATTTATTAATTATGTATACAATGTTCTGTATGCATGTATACCTGCAGGCCAGAAGAGGGCACCAGATCTCATTATAATTAGTTATGAACCACCATGTGGTTGCTGGGAATTGAACTCAGGACCTCTGGAAGAACAGCCAGCGCTTTTTTCCTTCATTTTAAAGATTTATTTATTTATTAGTTATACAGTACTCTGTACTGCATGTATACATACACACCAGTAGAAGAAACCAGCTCTCATCACAGATGGTTGTGAGCCACCATATAGTTGCTGGGAATTGAACTCAGGACCTCTGGAAGAGCAGGCAGTGTTCTTAACCGCTGAGCCATCTCTCCAGCCCCAGCCAGCACTCTTAACCTCTGAGCCATCTCTCCAAACCCTAATATCTTTTCCAATGGTACCATCTTATTATTGTTGTTTTTGTTGCTGCCTCTGTCTGTGTGTGTGTGAACCTACAGGTATGAATGTGGGCATGTGTGTGCTACGATGCATGTGTGAAGATCAGAAGACAAGTCTTTTGGGAGTCAGTTTCCTCCTTCCACCTCTGGGTTCTGGGAGCCAAACTTACGTCCATCAAGCTGTGCTGTACTTTCACCCAATGAAAAATCTTGCTAGCTCACAAAAAAATCAATTCAACTCTTTCTTAAAAACAAAAACAAACAAACAAAAAAACGCACTATGTGGATGCTGGGGACTGAACCTGGTCCATTGGAAGAGCAGCAAGTGCTCATTTTTAAGTTAATTAGTCAAATTTTTTTTTTTTTGAGAGTTTTACTCTGTAGTCTGGGTTGGTGTTAAACTCATGGCAATTCACTTGCCTCAGTCTTCTGAGTGCTGGAATTATGGGTGTGAGCCACCACCCTTGGCTGTCATCTTATTAAAAAGAAACAGACAGGGGCTGGAGAGATGGCCTCAGCAGTAAGAGCACTGTCTGCTCTTCCAGACGTCCTGGGTTCAAATCCCAGCACCCACATGGCAGCTTAGAACTGTCTGTAACTCCAGTTCCATGGGATCCAACACCCTCACACAGACACACATTCAGGCAAACATAAATAAGTTAAAAAATAAATAAAAGTAACAAAAAATTAAAAAAACAAAACAAACAAGAGAGCAATGAGAGTTAAATGTGACGTTCTATAAGCCAAGCGATATTGGACCAATATTCTTGGGTCATCAGCTGCTAGACTATTTTTTGCCTCAAAAGAATATATTATAAACCAGGCAGTGATGGCACACACCTTTAATCCCAGCACTCAGGAGGCAGAGGCAGGAGGATCTCTGTAAATTCCAGGCCAGCTTGGTCTACATAGTGAATTCCAGGCCAGCCAGGGTTAAAACAGAGAAACCCTGTCTCAAAACAAACAACATCCCCCTCCCCCACAAAAAAAGAAGAAAAACAAAACACATTATAATGGCAGGCGTGGGGGCACACGCCTAGGATCCCAGCACTTGTGAGGCAGAGGCAGGTAGATCTCTGAGAGTTTGAAGTCAGCCTGGTTTATGAAGCAAGTAACCAGGGCAATTCCTACACAGAGAAACCTTGTTTCAAAAAACCAAAAACCGTAAAAAAAAAAAAAAAAAGACATTATTCTAAGAAGTAGCTTTAAACAAATATCTATTTTATTATATGTGTGTGAGTGGTTTTCTTCTGCACATATGTATGTGCACAGTTGTTTGTCTGGTGCCCCCAGAGGTCAGAAAAGGATGTTGGATCCCTCGACACTACAAATGGTTACAAATGGTGGTGAGCTACCATATGGGTGCTGGGAACTGAACCTGCGTCCTCTACAGGAGCAGCATGTGGGTTTTTTGTTTTGCTTTTTTTCTAATTTTAAAATTTTATTTAATGTGTACAGGGGTTTTGCCTGCATGTATGTCTGTGCATCACGTGTTTACCTAGTACTGAGGACTACAGAAGAGAATACCTGATCCCCTGGAACTGGAATTGCAGGTGGTTGTGATTGCCAGGGGAGTGCTAGAATTGAACCAAGGTCCTCTGGAAGGACAGCCAGTGCTCTTCAGCACTGAGCCATCTCTCCAGCCCTGGTTACCTACATTTTGTTTATGTTTTTATTGTGGATGATGCTGTTTGCTTGTTCTCTGGAGACAGGGTCTCATGACATAGCCCTAGAACTCACTGGGTAGATCAGGTTGGCCCTGAAGCCACAGAAATCTGTATGTGTGTGTGTGCATGTGTGTGTGGTGTGTTTTCCTGAGTGCTGGGATCACGTGCAATCATGCCTCACCCTGTTTGTTTTGTTATTGAAGACATTTTTTAGGAGGACCACTTGATGGTCATTTTTGAGACCATTAATTCTGTGACCCACAGATGGGGCCAACACCCACCCAGCTGAACTGGCAGCCTCCCGCCACCGCCAGGGTTACCTTTCTCGCCGACTTCTGCCACCCAGTAGATGTCCGAATCATGTGTCAGCTGGGCCTGGAAAGGGAAGGAGTTGGGGGACAGGTCCTTGTCCGTGATGTTCAGCACTTGAGGCACCGGGCTTTGGTTACAGATGGTGATATGACGGGGTTCCGGGACTGGGCCATGGTCATTGATGTCGGTGAGCGTTAGCAGGAGGGTCCCAGTGCCGGTGGCGGGAGGGTTTCCTGTTTGCAATTACACAAATGATCTCTTTTCAGCTTTTGCTCATGGTTGGTGAAGGAATCAAGTTAAGGCTACCCAACCAGCTTCCACATGGCTCCTGGCTACCACCCAGCCATCCTCTCTTAAGTCCCTTCACCCACCAACTTCACTGTAGGTCAAACTGGCAATGGCAAACACATGGCCAATCACACTCTTGTTCTAATTTGTGACCACAGCAGACATGACTAACAAATCACAGGGCAGCTGCAGCTACTACCCTCAGCCGTTATAATCAATCACAGAGTAAAACCTACTGGCTGGCTCAAGCTGGTATAGTTGTCTACTGATCAGCTTCCGGGAATGCAAAATATCAGACAAACCTGCCTCAAGGCACCAGTTCACTAAATACCAAGCAGATGGTATAACCTTACAATCCCTCCAATTACGGCATAACAACTGAATCACGTGTGGTATTCCCAGTAGTCCTTGTCAGTCAATCATCAGTAGACACTGACAGGGCAGTTTGGAGTTCAGTGAACTAAAAACAAGTTGAAAAGGGAGTCCTCGGTGCTACCTTCCCTAGCTCTTGGGATTTAGAAAAATTAGCATCATAGCAGCCAGGCCTTTAAATTCAGACTGGTGTGCCAATCCAATCTCTACCACCATTCCCTGCTAAGGAGGGAGTACCCTTGCCCTGGGCACCACCACAGGCCTGCCATGGAAGGCCCGGGTGAAAGCTCTCACCATTGTCTGTGGCCCAGACCACGACTTCGTACGTGTTGTTCTTCACAAACCGCTCATCCTCACGATCTAAGATGCCCACAGCTGTGACGTGGCCACTGTCCGGGTCCATGGCTAGCCAGCCGGCTGGGTCTTTCAGGATTTCGTAGCTGCAGAGGGATTGAGAAGGGTCGCAGCTGGCATAGAGTTCTGTTATCACCTAGAGCCTCCTCAGGCCAACCACAGAGCCTTCCGCCTTGAGCAGGGCAGGATGGAGGGGTCTGGTGCAAGTGTGGTGGTAAGGGCACCGTACAGACTTTCATGGTGAATGGAACAAGCCGCCCAGTGTAGCTATGTGTCTGGCTGACCTGGTGCCCAGTCCCCAGGTACCTGATCTTCTGCTCCTCCTTGTCTGGGTCCTGTGCGGTATAGATGCAGACCAGCTCCCCAACAGAGACACCCTCCTGGGCCTCGATGATGTTGTAAGGTGGGACGAACACAGGGGCCTCGTTGACGTCTTCCACATGGACCACGATGGTAGCGGTGGCAGTTGGGAGCTTCACGGCAAAGGGATCCTCGTTGGTTACGTCTACATACAGAGTGTGCTGGTTCTGAGCCTCAAAATCCAAACCCTAGGAGAGAAGAGGAACCTGAGGCAGCATTTTGTGAGGTGGCCCGTGGGCACCAGGAGGGTCAAGGTAAAGGGACCAAGGCTCTGGCAGCTGCCCGGTCCCATTCCCTATCCCCCCAAACTCCGTGCTTCCTAAGAGGACATCTACTGGGGTCTCTCAGACAAGCCCAAAGCCTTTGTGAGGCCAAACAAGATTAGTTCCCAATAGGGTAGTGATGTCCCAGAGGAGGGGCTTGAGCGCCTGTGGGGCAGGTTAGTGTGACTAGGGTGCCTCTGGGTGGGATGCTACATCAATGCTAAGGACAAAGGACCACCTCTGTATCCCTTGTGACTCTCCAATGTCCCCAGGGCCACGCAGACACTCACTGGAGTGAGAACCTGTTTATAATTAGAGCCAAGAACATGTTTAATACATAAAACAAGCATTGGTGTGCTTTTAATATAGACTGAGTTCCCGAGGAATGCAACTTCTGAAAGCGCCTTGTAATTTAATTTGTTCAGGATGTTTTCAGTTGTTTCTTTATTGTTCTGAGTAGCAGTGGCGGTAACGCATCACCAGGCTGGCCCACGGGATCTACTGCACTTGGAAGGTTCTACAAATAAATGCAAATATCTGACCCCTGCACTGTGATTTCTAGTGTAGCTGTTCTCAAACATAGTTCATCTATCAAAACATTTAGAAGCCTTTCCTTCTATTTTATAACTCTCTCTCTCTCTATTCAATTATATTTTAAAATTATATTTTAAAAATGTTTATAATGTATACATAATATTTTCCCATCCATCCACTCACCTACCCACCTACATATCTATTTCTTTTCTTTTTTAGTTTTTGAGACAGGATTTCTCTGTATAATAGTCCTGGCTATCCTGGAACTCCCTTTGCAGACCAGGCTGGCCTTGAACTACAGAGATCCTCTGGTCTCTGCACTACCACGTGTGGCTCTACTTATTTAGACAGGGTCTTACTATATAGTCCTGGCCGGCCTGGAATTCTCTTTTTAATTGTTTGTTTCTTGGGGTTTTTGCTGTTGTTGTATTTTTGTTTTTTGAGACTGGGTTTCTGTGTGTAGCCATTGCTATCCTAGAACTATCCTCTTTGTAGACAGGTCTGGTCTTGAATTCAGAGCCTCTGCCTCTCAAGTGCTGAGATTAAAGGCTTGGCCTGGAACTCAATATATAGACCAGGCTGCCTTTGAATTCAGAGATCCATCTACCTCTGTCTTCGGTTAAAGGCACGTGCCACCTAGCTTTAAGTTTTCAGTTTTTTGTGGTCCTGCTAGGGATCAAACGGAGGCTTTCGCACAGATGAGGCAAGTGACCTACCACTGAGCCACGTTTTTTCTAGAAAGTATGAGTTAGCTAAGTTGTGTTATATATGAACTTTTTTTTCACAACATAAGACACATTACAATGAATTTGTCTCAAAAGAGCACATCTTCAAAGTCTTTATTCCTCTATTTATCTATTTTGTTTGTTTTAAGGCAAGGCTGGAATGGTCTTTAGATCAGGTTGGCCACAAACCTGCAGTAATGCTCCTGCCTCTGCCTTCCCAGAGCTGGGGTTATGGGATTAGAGGCAAGCGCTAACATACCTGGCTGAGACAGTTTTAAGAACTACTTCTTACACTAAGTCCTTCTCTGTTGTGAGCTTAGAAAGACAAAAAAAGACAGGCCAGCCCCCTTTTCCTGTTTCCTTAGGGAGAAGGTCTTGCTGTGTACCCAAGCTGGCCTCAAACTCTAAATCTTCCTGCCTCTGCCTTCTGAGTGCTGGTAAAAGGGTGTCACCATGCCCAAATTAGGCCCACATTCTTTTTGGTGCTAACCTGGGATCAAACCAGAGACCTTTTAAACAGAGCCATATTCTTGAACCTTCAATTATTGTTATTTTTTTTTTCTTGTTGAACTAGCCTCTTAAAGAATCTATTTTGTTCAAGTGTTTACTTATTTAGTTTTCTTTTTAAAGCTCAGGCTGGTCTCTGGCTACAGAGCTGGGAATGAACTTGAACTCCTGACCTTCCTGCTTCCATCTCCCGAGAGTGAGATACAGGTGTGAACCACCATGCCCCCTGCTCCTGAAGACTTTTGGACCAGTCTTGCCCTTTATCCCGATGAACACAAGACCATTAAAGAAAAAGGCCCTGAGCTTGATCCCCTATACCACCATACTCTCCCAACCCGCAGGACCCCTCAGAACAAAACCCACAATAAGACCCTGTTTCAATAGCTCAAAGAATGGATTCTCAGCTCAGGAGCAGAGAGACAAGTACCCAGAGCCACTGTCTTGGTGTAGTCACCACTGAATGGCCCAAGGGAAGTGGCCTGAGGCAGGAGGGGTCCCTTTGTCCTAGAGGCCCAACAGACCTACCTTCTTGGTTGTCAGGATGCCTTGGTTGGTCTCCGGGTGAGTGGTGACAGTAAAATGACCCCCATCGTCACCTCCCACGATGTGGTAGGTGGCACGCCATGCCGATGAGTTGGGGGCATCCAGATCAGTCACTGTCAGTCTCTGCACCTCCCGGCCCACTGCGTTCTCAGGCACCCAGGCCTCATACTGTGGGGGAGAGGGAGGGGACACACTGCACTCAGAGCCGAGAGAGGAGCCGTCCGACAGGCCACCAGCGGCTAGGAAGCCTCAGCACAGCTCTGGGGACGAGGCCACACATTCCGGACCCACTTTCCTTCTCCATGGGGAGCTCAGGGCTCTCCACAGCTTGGGTAGTACCCAAGCCCCTACTGTGCGCATAGCCACCCACCTGGCAGAGAGCAGAGGCTCCAGGAAAGATGGCAACAAGGACAGGCGCCTCACTGGGCTGGGGACTGGCCAGGAAGTTCGGGGGCAGGTAACAAAGCCTGGGCAGTCGGCTTTTTTTTTTTTTTTTTTTTTTTTTTTTAAAGTTTTTGGGTTTTTTTAGACAGTTCTCTCGTAGCCCAGACTAGACTTGAATCTGATGTGGAGTAGAAGATGGCCCTTCATCCTCCTGCCTTTACCTCCCAAACACTGTTAAGTACAGGTACGGGATACCCCAGTAAGCCTTCAGGACAACTTTTTTTGTGTGTTTGTGTATGTGCATACTACTATGTTCGCAGGGGTGAGAGGTCAACATCAGGTACCATTCCTCAGGAGCTGTCCACAGTGTTTCCTGAGACAAGCCAGGCAGCCCCAGGAATTCTGACTTCCACCTCCCCAACAATGGAGTTACAAGTGTAACTGGCCTTTGACTCAGGTCTCCACGCCTGCACAGCAAACACTTTTTATAAACTGAGCCATCTCTCCAGGGCAAATTTTTAGTGAGGCCTAAGCCATCCCAAAGCTAGATTTGTAAGCACATGAGGGAGTGTGGTGGGTGTATGTGCTGTGGTGAGCCTGTGGGAGTCAAAGGACAGGTCAGCTCTCTCCTTCCACCATATAGGTCCTAGGGAATCACACTCAGGTCATTTGGGTTCCTGGTCAGGTTACAGATACGAGGTAGAGAAGTTTAAACCCCGCAGACTGGAAAGAACTGTACACAGACCATTTCATCAAAAACTCAGGTATCTATCATTATCTCCACTTCACAGCTTAAGAAACTGGGCACAGAGAGGCTAGGCAGTTTGCCTAAGGTTACACGGCCAGTAAGCGACAGAACTGGGACTTGGTTGTAGAAGCGTGGGTTGGTCTGGGAGAAGCAGCCGGCCTCAGTCCTTTACCAGATGAGAAGTGCAAGAAGGATGGGAGTTACCTTCTGTGGCTCAAACTCGGGAGCATTATCATTGGCATCCAGGATTTCCACTATGGCCTTTGCCGTGGTGGTAGAGCCCTCTCCATCCATGTCCGTGGCCTGGATGGTCAGTGTGTACTCAGGAACTTTCTAGGGAGGAAGGAGCAAAGAGAAAGCCCACCATGAGCCCAGTGTGAGAGGACACTTACCTGGGCAATAGCAAACTGCCTTGGGGTATGGAGGCAAAAGGCAGTCCCCCCTTTCACTGTTTCCCTGTTCCTTGGCCTACCCCTCAGCCACTTCCAGTGAGCAGACAAGTTTTGCATGATTGTGTGTGTATGTGGTGGTGAGGGCGGGGGTGGGGAGCAGCAGGGTTGGGCGGGGGGGTCTCATCTCCCAACAGCTCTCCTGGGCTATCTTAGGGAAACCCAGGCACTGCCCAACCCTCAGCTGCCCCACACAGGAACTTGGAGAAACGATCTAGGCAAAGATATTCATTAGGAAACAGAAGGTAATTCCAATATCCACGGAGCCGGTTCTACTTTGTGGCTCACAGGGGACAAATCCGGGCAACATGCAAACTAAATGAGCCGTTCGGACAGGAAATGAGAAAAGCTCAAAAGCCTGCATTTTACAGCTGCCTCCTCACGCTTAGGGGATCCAGCCGGCAGGCTGGGCAGCAGGACACTAGCTCAAGGGAGCCGTGGGCCGCAGCAGTAAATGCAGCAGCAGCCAAGGCAATCCTGACTGGGTCTCCACTGTCCTGCCCAGACCCTGAGGCAGCCACAGGAGCTTCTACTCTGGGCAGGGTCTTGGCAGGTACTCACCTCCCGGTCCAGGCCGCTGGAGATGACGCTAATGGTCCCCGTGCTCTTGTGGATGGTGAACATGAGGTCATGTGGCTCCTTCGGTTCTTGGCTATGGATGGAGTAAGCCACCACGCCGTTGTAAGTGTTGATGGCATCATCCTCATCTGTCGCTGTCACCTGCATCACAGAAGTGCCTGCAGGGGAGAGGGGACCACTGAGCCCCTTTCCCTCTCTGCCCAGCGTCAGCCTTGCCTACTCTGGAACCTTCCTATGAAGTTCTGCCCCACACAGCAGAAGGACCTCTCCCCTGCTCGGTGGCAGCCAGCTTCCTAGAACCCGCTCGCTATCTGTCATGCCCTTCTTTTTGAGGAAATCAGATCCTCAGTTGACCATGGCAGTGACTTCTGATAAACGAACACATAAACACTTGGAGGAAGGGTTTTTGTTGTTGTTTATTTTTTAAAGGATGTACTTGAGGCTGGTGACTCAAGCTTGTAATCTCAGAATTTTGGGAAGCTGAGGCGGGAGGACTGCCCATGAGTTCAAGTCTTGCCTTGACTATGGAATAGGGAGACTCTGTCTCAAACAAACAAACAAAAACAAACAACAAATAAAGGTGTTATTCTTCAGCTACCCAGTAATGTAATGGCTCCAGCAGCCACAAGCAAGAGCTAACCATGGGAACAGAGGCCAAAACGGTAGAACAAGGCAGGATCCTGCCCTTTAGCTGAAGCCCCACTGCCACCCGGATCAACTGCCCCTAGGGCTTTCAGAGAATAAGGAAAGGGAAACAATTTTTTTTTTCCATCTTGTTAAAACTGTTAAGGCCAGCCTGGTCTACATAGCAAATCCAGGCTAACTAAGGCCAACACAGTTAGATGTTTCAAACAAATCACCACACAGAAAAAAAAGCTAGTCACACAGGGATTGTCTCTGACATGAACTCAGTGGCTGGCTTTTTGACCTCCCCACCCCGGGGGAGGAGCAGCCTTGCTAGACCACAGAGAAGGACACTGCAGCCAGTCCTAAAGAGACCTGATAAATTAGGATCAGATGGAAGGGGAGGAGGACCTCCCCTATCAGTGGACTTAGAGAAGGGCAGGGAGGAGATGAGGGAGGATGGGATTGGAAGGGATTGAGGGAGGGGGATACAGCTGGGATACAAAGTAAACAAACTGTAATTAATATAAAAAATAAAAATTTAATAAAAAAATAAATAAAAAGCTAGGCATGGTATTATCTCCTCATCTTCTAGTCCTCTCTTCCCTAACAATGGCAACTTACTTTTGCTTTCTGTAAATCATACCCCTCAGCTCCAGCTGCTTGCCCTGTGGTGGCAGAACCTCGGGCCGCAAGCTCCATGGGAGCAGGAGCTTACACACAATGTGTGTGCTTTCTTTCTCCTGTGCTGCTGGTGCCCAAAGCGTGACCATGCACCTGGCGTGTGCTCCGCCCCTGAGCTATGCCCTCAGCGGCATGCATTATTTCTAATCTTCATAATATTTCAAGGTCGATATGCACATTTGGATTGAGGCTCAGAGGTCATGAAACACACCTGACGTCACGGCCAGTAAATGACAAAGTCCGGATGCAAGCCTGAGCTTTGCAGCTCCCAAGTCTGGCCGAGCCCAGAGCTTTTGGGAAGGTTTCTAATGGGAATGCCGGAGCTTTGCAACAGGCCAAGCTTGCTCAGGGCTCATGGGGTGGATGAGTATGAGAGAGAGAGAGAGAGAGAGAGAGAGAGAGAGAGAGAGAGAGTGTGTGTGTGTGTGTGTATGGGATGAGTTCTAGGAATTAATCCCCGACTAGGTCCGGACCCGGCTGATCCAGAATAGCCCCTTCCCAATCTTCTCACCAGGCGTCACCCCCTCAAAAACACTCCCTCTGAAGATATCTTGAGTGAACTTGGGCTTGTTGTCATTCTGGTCTGTCACGATGATGGAGATGTTCATGGGCTCCTCCACAGAGGCACCGTTCTCGGATACCGCATGGCCAAAAAGCTGTGGGCACAGAGGTCTGGGGTCAGCTGGTGTCCCCTGCTCGCCAGGCCTCGGCTCGGGCCTACCTCGGAAAACACATCTACAATGGGTACTAAAGGTTACTCACTTCATACTTGACGATCTTCTCCCTGTCCAGTGGCATGGTCAAGAGCAACCAGCCTGTCTCCTTCTCTATGGTGAAGACGCCCTCAGGGGGACTGTCTGCCCCAGGCCCAGTGATGCTGTAGAAGAGCTTGGTGCCTCTGTCCTTATTAGATTTGAGCTGGAAACAAGATAAAATGACAGCTGCCTCACTTGGTGGCAAGAAGCCTTCTGCAGCAGCCTCCTAGACCCCACCCCACGCCAGCAGCAAGAAGCTTCAGTCTTAGACCTCTGGACAACAACACACTAGGGTTGCCCAGGCAGAAGGCACTGTCATACCTGATTCAGCCTCTGAGGGAAAGGACCCTTGCCATTCTCAGGGACTGATAATGGTGGCATCACCCACTCTCTTTTTCGTCTCCGTAAGAGGCGTTTGGGTGGGGAGCTCATTGCAGCCTTCCCTCTCTGCCAAGGAAAGATGTGATATGCTGTTAGCTTTTGCGTGGAAGGTCAAAGGAGTCAGGTGTGGAGACACACATCCATAATCCCAGCACGCAGAAGGATCAGGAATTCAAGTCAGCCTTGGCTACATAGCAATCTGAGGCCAGCCTAAACCACATGAGACCCTGTCTCAAAAGAACAGTAATAACATTTTTTTTTTTGTTCGTTTTTTTGTCTTTCTAGAGACAGGGTTTCTCTGTGTAGTGTTGGCTGTCCTGGACTTGCTCTGTAGACCACGCTGGCCTTGAACTCACAGAGATCCACCTGCCTCTGCCTCCCCAGAATGCTGGGAATCACAGGCATGTGCCACTACACCGGGCTCTAATAACAAACAATTTTTATTTAATTTTGTTGTTATGTTTTTACAGACAGGGTTTCTCTGTGGGATAGTCCTGTCTGTCCTGGAACTCTTTGTAGACCAGGCTGGTCTGGAACCCACAGATCCACCATACCTGGCAACAATTGTAATACAATACTAACAATAAAGGAAAAGGAAAGAGAAGAGGAAAAAAGCCTTTGTTGTTGTTTGTACATACACAGAGAATAATTTATCTAAACGTGTATGACGTATGGAAGGAAACTATGAAGGAAGAGAATCTGCTTACAGTGGTTGCCCTTCTCTTCTCAAAAGGGGTGAGTGGGCTACCAGCAGATGGAGACCAAGAGACTGCCTGACACATGGCTTCAAATATTTTAAAGTTTTGAACATTTGACTATACAAAAATTAAAAGACACCAGGAAGCTGGGTGTGAGGGCCTTTAATCCCAGTACTCAGAAGGCAGAAGCAGGCGGATCTTCGTGAGTTTGAGGCCAGCCTGGTCTGTACAGCAAGTTCCAGGATAGCCAGAGCTTCATAGAGAAGGAAAAAAAAAAATCCTAGAGGTCCATAAGATCAGCAATCCTGTGCTGAAATGGTCTGTAGCTGGACCGAACTGGAAGTAAGGTGCTGGAGGAACTAAAGCCTGGTGAGCTGGGTGATGGCAGCCCCACCCCTCTTCCCTGCCCCACGGGCTGCCTCTCTTGCGCCCCCTACTGGTCAGCTCCAGTCATTTCTCTGCTCGGATAAGCAGTGCTCAGCGCTGGTTGGCTGGAGTTCAGGAAGGGCTCTGGGCAGCAGCAGCCTCAAGGCAGTACCTCCTCCCCTTTGTCCTGAAGACAGACATGGCGTTTCACCTGGACTGTCCCACTATTCAGAATAGTGATTTCTCCGTTGTCAGAGCCATGCAGCTCATGTCCAGGGTATTCAGCCAATGCTACTGTGAGGAAAAGAGAAAGAGGGAATTAGAGAGCCGTCCCTTGACGGGATTAAGGACTACCGAGTACAAGTCTCAGACAGCACTTCTACTGTAGTCATTATTACCATTATTTAAAACTTCTTTTTCCCATTTGCACGTGCACGCCACATGAATGCAGGTGCCTGTGAAGGCCAGAAGAGGGAGTCGGATGCCCCAGGGCTGTGGTTACAAGTGATCGTAAACTGCCTGGTCCAAAAGAGTGTTGGGAACTGAACCCAGGTCTCCTGCAAGAACAGTGCACTCTAAGCCACTGAACTATCTCTCCAGCCCGACTGCTTTAGTTTCATTTTACATGTAGGGGCACTTTGCTTGCGCGTCTGTCTGTGCACCACATGCATGCAGTGCCCAAAAGGCCAGGAGAGGGCACTGGATCCCCCCGGTACTGAGACTGCAGGTGCTTGTGGGCTGCCGCGTGGATGCCGAGAAGAGCCAGGGCTCTTCACCACTGAGCCACCTCTCCAGCAGCTGTAGTTACCGACTACAGGTCACCGGCATAGCCCAACCCCTTTTCCTCTGTGTCGCTGGGGTCAAGCTCATGGCTTTGCAAATGCTATACTATTCCTTTGGTATGGAGTCACACTCCTAGAGGGAGGCTATGGAGAAGCTAGATGGCTCATGCCAGGCTGTTGGGAACTCGAAAGCAAGTAATCAGCCGGAGAGATGGTCAGCTGTAAGTGTGCTGGCTACTCTTTCAGAGGATCTGGGTTCAATTCCCAGCACCCGCACGACATGACTCTAGAAAAAGCAGCTCTCACACGCTCTTCTGGTCTCCATGAACAAGTTCGCATGTGGTGCACAGACATTCGTGCAGACAAAACACCCGTACGCATTAAATAATAAATAAAAGCCGAAGAAAAGTTAAAGTGTATTCACAAGGCCGGGCACGTAGCTCAGCGGTAGAGTGCTGTCTAACATACACAAGGCCCTGCGCTCAATTCCCACCACAAAAATAAATAAATAAATAAATAAATAAATAAATAAAAAGAGGCGCACGTTAAGATGTTCACAGCTGCCACTCGTCGTTGCTACAACTGGGAATGGCAGGTGTTCACGAAAGCAGCAGACCACGAAAGCCACACGGAGACACTGTGGCATCGTCCCATTTGCAATGACACATGCAACAAGGCGTGGATTCAAGAAGCAGCAGCTGAGAAGCAAAGCCAGTTACAGGGCAGGATGCATGCTTTCTGGGGAAGAGACCCCCCCCCCCACACACACACAAGAGCTTGTGGTCCAGACAGACCCTGTAATGAAAGACAGAGTAAAAGGAGAAAAACAAGCTTATTAACACATTCAGCATGTGACACACAGGCGAAGCCTCTGTGGACAGCGTGGAGAAATCAGAGGTTAAGAACGCTGGGCCTTCTTCCACAATGAACAGTGCGGTTCAGAGACGTGAAAGACAAAGGAAGCAGATACAGGGGCAGGAGGTTGCGACGGAAATCCAGGGAGCAAACTACTGCAGTGAGCTTTCTTTACTTTGTAAGACCTGGTCTCCAGAAAGGAGAGGTTATTTATTGCCTGACTTAGGAGGACTGTCTGGGAGGGTAAAAAGAGCCTTTTCCCGTCTCTGTATGCTTGCACCCACCCATCTTTATTTTCAATGCTAATATCAAATCCAGGTCTTGCACATGCTGGGTATATATCCCTTCACTTTTTGTTTTGTTTTTTAAAAAAGGCCAGGTCTCCTCATATAGCCTTGTAGACCAGGCTGGCCTTGAACTCAGCAAGTCTGGGAAAGCACTGAGATTAAAAGTGTGCACCACCATGTCTGGTTCTTTTGGTGCTTCTTAAATGCCTTTTGCTAAAACAAACAAACAACAAAAAGCCAAAAAAACATTTGTATCCACAAGGCATTTTCCAGGGCAACACATTTTGGTTTCCTGTAGTATGATTCCACGGTGTGAAGCTGGAAAACCGGCAGAGCCTACGGAGGCGGATGAAGTCAGCGGAAGGGGCAGCAGGGCTTAACAACCATAATGAGCCACCTGCAGCCCACAGGCATCCAGTGCCAGCTTTCGGGAGCCCCAGGGCGCACGCATCCAGGCAGATCCCCCTGGAAGGCTGGGATGGGGGCGGGGGTAGAGTGGAGATTGCTTGGAAATGGCCCTGCCCTGCCTCCTTGACGACTTTCTCTCTGAGGAGTCCTGGACTGACACACTCTGCTCGGAGGAGGAAGGGAAGAAAGGGGCCTGGGCTTGATTCCGTTCCAGAGGATCCCCGGAGCCCTGAGATCCATGGAGGGCCCTGTCTTTTATTCTGTTGTACACTTTTGCAGGCTCACCTGAGAAAATCTGCTTTGCCTTAGCCCTAGAAAGACCAGAAATGACTGATACAAAGACTAAATCACCTTAAACAGAGACACACTCCCTGGGCTGTGTATTCAGTTGAGCAAAGTGATACTTTTAGAGTTTTAAAGTTATACAGGGACATTCTTATGCTACGAAACAAAGGAAGCAGAATTTGAAATGACATGTAGGGCAAAGGCAACTTCGGACAGAAAAAAAACAAAACAAAACAGCAAAGGACAAACCAGACACTACAGAAGGCTGCGAGAAAGGCAGGGAACCTAGCTCCGTGGTAAAAAAGCACATGCCTAGCACAAGAGACCTTGGATTTGATTGCCCAGCTCTCAAAAAACAAACAAGCTCTCAGAGATGGGTGTTCTCATTGTGTAGGCTACATGAAAAGAGCCTAGGATAGATTGTTAACACACGTTAGAGCGATGTGCTTCCCCGCTACAATGTTCACATTTGTACTTGAGCACTTATTTTGACTTTCTTTTTCTTTCTTTTTTCTTTTCCTTTTGGTGGCAATAGGGATTGACCAGGACCTCATATATGTTAGGCAAAAACTCTGTCACTGAGCTATACCCCTACCTAGTCCAGATAAGCACCTTTTTTTTGGGGGGGGGGTATCAAGACAGGGTTTCCCTGTGTACCTTTGGTTTCCCCGGAAACTCACTCGATAGCCCAGGCTAGTCAGCCTCAAACTCAGAGATCCACCTGCCTCTGTCTCTGAGTGTTGGTGTAAAGGCGTGCACTTCCTACCTCCTGGCCAGATATGCACTATGAAAACTCTATTCGAGGGCTGGAAAAATAGCCCAGTGGTTACAAGCCAACCAATTAGAAGAAGTGGAGTTCAGATGCCAGCATCTATCTATTCAGGCGGCTCACAAACATCTCTAACTCCAGCTCCAAGGGACTTGATAGCCTCTTCTGGCCTCTGTGGGCACCCCCCTCCCAAATAAAATGGAAAAACAACAATAAAAAATTGAAAAAAAAATTCTCTGAAAAGCAACTCAAGAAAAGAAATAGGCTTCTGGGCAGAGAACCCTGCAGCTGTGACAAAGATAAGACTTTTTTTTATCACAGACGCTTCTGGATTCCCACGGTGCTGACTGTGTCAGTTATTCAGAACGCTGACAATATTTGCCAGGCACGGTATCATGCCTGCAACCCCAGCATGTGGGAGGTGGAAGCAGGGCAGGCAGGAGTTCAGTGTCTTGTCAATGTGGGTTGAAGGCATCCCTTATCCCTGAGATAAGGTTGTTCTTATCTCAGAACAACAACAAACACAAAAACTTAACTGTCACTTTCCTCTCCCTGTCCCTGAACCAAAAGACAGCCTCCGGCTGGCGCAGGTGTGCCAGTGATTTCTTTCTCTCCAGCAGTTGTCTCACTCCTCCAGTTACCCGGCGGGAACTAATGACTCCCTCAATACTCAGAAGTCTTCAGCCCCCCAAACTCTGAAATCAGCCATACCCACAAGGACACAAGGAGTGAGTAAAAGGGAGGGGGGGGGAAAGGAGAAAAAAATAACAAAACCAAAATTTATTATCTCTACCCCCAAGGAGCATACAGCACACCCTGCTGCTCAGCCTTGGCATTTCTGCTCTGGTACATGGCGCTGGGCCCTAGCATCTCAGTGTCCAGGCCGTCCACCTATGCTCAGAGGGGACAGTGCCACCATCAAGCAGCCAGCCGTCATGCACTATGATGATGTCTTGGCCTACCCTGCAGACTACATATTCAAGGCGCCTCAGCTCCAACCCACTTTCAGCAGGAAGCAGAACACAACCCAGGGGCAGGAATCCAGTCAGGCAGGGACATGCTTCAAACGCCCACTGTGATGGAGACACTCAGCTAAGCGTTTTCCTCCCCAGTCCTGGGAAGTATATCACCTGCAAGATATGCATGACAGCTCCCAACCCAACGATTCGGTAATAAACAAGAAGTTGTAGGGGTTCGGGGATGGGAGGTTCCCTGATCTGCCCCCAGGAAACAGCTTCAGAGAGAGAGAGAGAGAGCCCCAACCACTAGAAGGCATCAGAACAGATTTCAAATCTTGAAGGCGGTGTGTGATAAAGACTATTCTACACACGCTGCTTATCAACCGCATGCCTAGGCAGACGGTGTGAGCGTGCGGATGGTCAGTTTACTGATCTAGAAAGCCGGGAACAATAACGCGTGCCTGGTCCAGGAGAAGCCGTCAACAGTATGCACAACTAGCCAAGGTGTCTCTATCTGTCCTGGTTTCTATCCCCCAACCCATGTGTTGTATATGTGTATGTGCATGGTCCATACAGGTGAAAGCGTGGGTGTGCTCATAAGCATGCATGTGACTATCAATAATCAGGTGCCTTTTCGCTCTCTACCTTATTGCCTTGAAAACAGAGTCTTTTACTGAACAGGCTGACATCAAGCCCTCAGGATCAGCCGGTCTCCACCCTCAATGCTGGTTAGGTTACAGGCACACACAACCACGCCACACACACTTTTATGTGGGGGTTCAAAACTCAGGTGTTCATGCTTGCAGAACAAGCACTCTTATCCACCAAGCCATCTCTCTGGTCCCCTCTTTCTTTTTTGAGATAAGGTTTGCTATGGAGCTCAGGCTGCCCATGAACTCACTACGTAGGCTAGGCTGGACTTAAACTCGTAATTTTCCTACCTCGGCCT